TTGGATATTGGCCTTGCCTGCTGAGCTCTGGACATCAACCTTGACTGCTGGCCTACGAACATCGGCCAGTTTGCTTCTGAGAGAGCTGGAGGGGGAACCTGTGGTGGAAAAAAAATCTTTCCATGTCTGTTAAACAAAATGCAGAAATACATGATCAAAAAAAGTTCTTCACTACAATGGTCTCTGAGTAATTTCATTGCAATAAAATGAGAGTCAACATGCATACAGCAATACAAGCTGAGTCTGAGGACACAGCCCCAGTGAAGCATCTTTTATACTCTTCCAGTAGAAACCAGTCCCAAAACCAGTTCCTATTTGACATGCAAGGAGTGGTTCTTATCTGAGCAGCAAATATTTCTAGTTTCAGTTAAAAGCATGTTCTGTGGTCCTCCAACAAAGAAGAACACCTTAAAATGTGGTTATACTTCCTATTTTATCGTCACTTACATGTTCATATTCCAAAAGTAACAAAACAAATAGCTCTGCAATCAAATTGTGAAGAAACCACAGTAGTGTGTGAAGTTAAAACTTGAAGAACGAGAAAAAGACACATTAAAGGTGCCCTACTGGAAACTTACAACATGAGTTCAAACAATTCAGAATAACAGGACAATGCATATGCAGTATATTTTATAAGTGAAACATAGCTGAAACACTCAAAAAGATAAAAAATAAGCAGGTCCTCTGTATGGGTTCTTCTTCAGTGAAACATTTTGTCTCTCCTACAAGTGGCTTCTTCAGTCTGATGAAATTCAGGTGAACTCAGCCTTATAAGCACTGCCTCCACCTGGTGGACAAACAGGTTAGTCACATGCAAGAGAGGGCCATCGCCTAACAATAGGCTTGTTCATAGAGGGTCATGTGCCCCATCACCTGACTTATTGGTTTGGATGCTGCTGCTGTGTTTATTTTGTGTTTTGTTATGTGAATGTAGTGAGTTGCAAGTGGGGTTCAACGTCCCCTTGTTTTTGACTCCATTTTCCTGTTTGTGTTGGGTATTGTTGGGGCCCTGATTCACACCTTTTGCTCACAGGGGGCTGAGTCATACTTGCAATAACAGCATTGTAGGAGGAAGACAACTGGACACGAAGGCCTCCACCTCTGTTTAATGGTGGATGTTTTTTCTTCACAAAGATGGCTTCCTTTACTCCTCTCTCAAACCAACGTTCCTCTCTAACAAGGATTAGAACATCTTCATCCCTGAAAGAGTGACCGCTGACCTGTAGATGAGTGTAAACTGCAGAGTCCTGACCCGACGAAGAAGCTCATCTGTGCTGGCTCATTCTTTTGAACAGTGGCTGTTTTGTTTCCCCAATGTATGATTGATCAAAGTCCTCCTGACACTTAACAGCATATACTATATTACTCTGTTTGTGCCGGGGAACTGGATCTTTGGGGTGAACTAATCTTTGTCGTAACGTGTTTTGGGGTTTGAAAGCCAATGGGACGTCATGTTTAGAGAATAAACGTCTCAGTTTCTCTGAAACTCCTGCCATATATGGAAAGAAAACACCTTTAAATTATAAATACATGGGCAACAATTTAATTTTCCTTCACAAACCTGTTGCTGGGCCCGGCTGTCATGGCGCCGGGCCCAGGTGAGTCATGCAGAGTAAATGCATCCAGAGTGTCATGGTTTGTCATTTTATGCCTTTATTTATCCTATAGTGTTTCAGTGTTTCCCTGTGTGTCTCAGCTCAGCTGCCCCACATCACGCTGCTGATTACCCTTGTGTTTCTTCCCAAGTGTTTTCTGTTCCCTGATTAGTTTTCTGTGTATTGAAGCTCAGTCTTGTCTCTGTCTCATTGTCGGATCATTGTTCCGCCTACCTGGTTGTGTCCTGTTCCATGTTCTTCGTCTAACTCCAAGTTAAAGTGAGTTTTGCTGTATTTTCAGCCTCCTTGAGTTTTTCATTAAAGGCCTTGTGCTTTTTTGCTTTTTGACATCTGCCTGTGCCCTGGGTTATTTTGTCGGTCCTGACACGGAGAAGAGGGTTAGATGTGGTGGGAAATAAATCTGTAGACAATATGAAGGAAATTACAAAATCACTGAACTTTATCAGGGCAGAACTATCAAAGCTGGCATTACAGCAAGAACTATTGATTGGTCTGATTAAAGAATTGAAGCTATTGAAAGTTGTGATAAGTGATAGAGATAAAAGGTAGCTGAACTGGAGCAAAGAGTGGATGATCTGAAACAATATACAAGGAGAGATGATTTATTTACTGGGCTTGAAATTAAACATCGGACCTAGGATCAAGTAGTGACCTTTTTTACAAAATAATGACAGTGACATCTAACCTGAGAACGTTTTTGTCTCACCTTGTCTGGTAAATCAGAAAAATTCAAACCATATATTTCTATCAGTTTTATCAGCAAGAAATTAAAAAATAATTTGATAAAGCAAGCAAAAACCACCGAAGGGAACAAATGTATACATTATTGAACATTTAACAAAAAGTTTAGCTTTTTCTTGGTGTTTGTGGGACTCTATCATTGTCACAGTTTGTGGTGTTTATGGATCACAGCAGATGTGGGCAACTAGTTCCATTTACTCAGTTATATTTACAGGAAAAATGTAATTTTAGGGAAGGTTGTACTCCACCGTACTTTGTTACTTGAGTAATATTGTTGTAATGCTACTCTTAAAGTCGTAATGTTTCTTATGACTCTACCCACAGTAAGTAACTTCACTGAATGAAGAACTGAATGAATATTTGAACCAGAGATGCTCCAGAGACACACCTRTAGTTTATGTTGAAGTGAGTTTACCTCAAGTGTCAGACTCAAGGCCCTCAGGTCAAATGCGGCCCATGAGTGACTTCTGTCCAGTCCACCCAAGGGGTGGAGAAATTTTTATTTTAAATTTTTTAACCTATAATATCAAAACAGGTTATATCAACGATAAACTTTGAATTTATGATTCAATGCAACAAAATAAACTAATTTAAAAGGTGAAACACAACAATACTTGTCCTGCCTCTGAGCTGTTAGCTTTTAAGTGTCTCTTACCC